GGTGATTCAGTATCAGTAATAGGACACTTTTCCATAATTAGTTAAAAAAATTTTTTTTAATATTTTTATCCCTATCGAAACGGTAGAATATGGACACATTTTTTAAAATAAAACTTCAATGAAAACGTCTTCTCTTGCGTATGCCACCGTGCAACCCCGCCGCGCCCGGTAGCCCCCCGCCACAGCCCCCACCGCCCCGCCGGGACCGAGCGACGCGCGCGACAGTGAGACTCATACGCACGCGCCGATGTGACGTGTCCTCGCGTTCCCGCGCACGCGACGCGCCCGCCGTCGTGAGTTTTACGAGATGTACGAGTTTATCCTCTGAGTGGTGAGAACCTACATAAGCGCAATTCGGAGAAAGTATGCGATGAAGAGCATACCTCGTATGCGGGCCTTTGGGATCCGTAACCCCGCGGTCCCTAATGCTTCGAACCATTTTAACAGACGAAGTCCCAGAGTCAGTACCCACGATGCGGCATATCTCTTTGGTGTGAGCCAGCCTGCGGTATTGAAGCTGCTAAAAACAGCCGGACTCCATCCGTACCACTTTCAGCCGGTTCAGCAGTTCCATGACCTAGACCCAGTACCACGTCGAGCCTTATGTGAGTGGCTTCTACATCACCGCGATGCAAACATCTTGTAGACGGATGAGGCATTGTTCACAAGTGAGGGACTGTTTCTTATGGGAAGAAGTCAAACGCCGAGATGTAGAGGAGGCACAAAGTCTAGAAGACTTAACAATAAAAAATAATAACGCTTTCAGTGAAGTGAAAAGTGACACTAGTGTTTTAAACAATTTAAATGACAATTTAATGAAATGTGCACGTTTATGTCTGGACAGACGTGGACTTCATTTTGAACAAATATTAAAATACATGGTAAGTAATTAGTTAGGTATTATTTTGATTCAACATTATTGTAAATACGTAGTTGATGCTAATATTTTTAAATACGCCTTAACGCAGAAGTACCTAAGTAACTTCGGCATAACGTTAATATTTTTTTCTAGGTAACGAATTTGTTTCTCTTTTATTTTGTTGCATTGTGATGGCCTTAACCATAAAAGTATGAAGGGAAAATTGGAATTACTTTTAGAAATCACCTCAGATCATGGCATAAAATCTAGTTCGAATCTAACAAAATGAGCGGCCAGTGACCCGTGTAGATAGGTACCTACGAGTACATGCCTACGGCCGGCGTCGAGCGAGCGCTCAGCTGACGCACGGCGCGCGGTGTCCATAAATTAAGTTTTAAAATCTCGATCTTTGATAAGCGATAACTTTATTTTTTAGTATTAGAACATATCAAAATAAAAAATACGTGTTTATTTAAATTACTTAAAGTTTATTTTCACAAAATCTTCGCAGTGGTTTTAAATTATTCCTGTATATCATTTACAATAGAGAAAAATATTTTTTTGCCTCAATACATCTATGCAAATATTTTGTACGTAAGAAAACACGATTCATTATTTCACAAATAAAATAACTGTTTATTATTTTAACACAAAAAATAAACTGACTGCAAAAAAAAATCGTAATAAAGAGAAACAACGAAAAGAGAGAAATAATACCACAAATTTTCAAAAACAAAATTGAAACAAAATGTGTAGGTACATACCAAAAAATTTTTTGGGGTCTGTGCCAAATATTTATAAGTAAAATATTATAATTCCTATTATTCCTATTAATTCCTATTATTCCTATTATTCCTATTAATATTATAAATGTGAAAGTTTCTTTGTTTGGATGTTTAGATGTTTGGATGTTTGTACGTCAATCACGCCGAAACTACTGAACGGATTTTGATGAAATTTGGTATGGTGAGATAGGGTGTTAGCTGACTTAGATAATAGGATACTTTTTATCCCACTAAACATTTCCCTAGGGTCCACGCGGACGAAGCCGCTGACGAAAGCTAGTAAGAAATATATTTTCTGAAAGTGCTGTTTTACTTCTTAACATTTTATACTTTCTTTCTTTTTTAAAAAATATAAGTTATCACCAATCTACATTATTACTTACACCTTCGTCATACATATTTCAAGAATAGTGCGTTAGGTTTAGTTTGAACTGCTATCAACACAGAAAATCCGGTAAATATAAGTATGTTTAAATACAAACGAAGGTGTCAATTTATCATTATATGTTAGAAGTGAGAAAATGGATTGGCGATAACTATTATTATTGAAAAAATTTAAAGCATAAAAACTTAAAGAAGAAGCTTTTATTTAAACTCTCTAAAAAGAAGAAAATAGATTTTTTTAAATCTGTAACTACCAACCTATAACTTCATTATACTCAATTCATATAATTATAAAACCTTTTCGCTTATTTTTACATTTACTTGTTTCAGTAAATTAGTACCGCTCAATGTCATATCACGCCATGATAATCCATTAGAGTGCAGCGAATTTTGATCCTTCTTTCAAACTCTAAATTTTGAACACAACTATGTAAACGAATCATAGAAATATCATTAAATCTACTACATAAGATGATTTTACATGTACCTACCAATGACTAATTTCAAGAATTATAAGTGAAATGAAATTATTATAAAATTATTATTTTTACCAATTCACAACTACAGAATATATTACATACTTACTTAAGTGTATTTGATATTGTGCTGAATACCTATAATAAAAGCAGCCGCATAGGCAGAATACAAAATATTAAATTAATATAAATTGCAAGTCGTACATAAGAATCTAAAATTATTCGAATTTTTGAGACCTCTCCCCTATCTTATTTATCCTAACTCATAATATTTATAACTTCATCATATGAAGGCAACAACACCTCACGTTCTAGAATTTCAGGGGCAATATTAATAATATTGCCCCACCCCCACCCCCCAGCGCATATGTTATTAACTTTACTATGATATTATTATAATTTTGACGGATGGCGGCAGTCTATTTGGTCACCCCCAAGCCCTGAGGCCCAGGACAGTCCGCCCCATCCGCCGTCCTCTTAGTTCGTCAGTGTCTCAATACATTCAAACTTAATGAAATTGCGTATTAATGCAATAAGACTAGATATTACTATAGATATACAGTATATACGTATATGACCTGGCTAATGATTCTATACAACCCCTGACCTCAGATAAATAGCATTATGACCAAGTTTAGTAGCACAGAGACAATATATAACTCACATGCAGACTTAATATCTAAAATGTTAGAAACAAATATATATTGTATAGAATTTTAAAATTTATTAATGTTTATAGCAAAATTTGTGAAAAGAAACTGAACATCAACAAAATTTGACTGGTAACGTGCCGAAGAAAAAGAGAGGCAGATTCTACCCTCCTTCAACATGGTGGTCCAGTATGACCTTCTGTCTAAAGAAGACCTACCTATTCCAACAAGTCTCGTCAGATTGTGGCACATAAAGTTAGGAGACCCGACCCACCCAAAGTGGGAAAGTGCAAGATTATATTAGGCATTTCTCAAACTGTCTGGATATTGTTACCAATACTTATTATCCATGGTCACATACAGTATTACTCAAAACTAATAAAATCAATCTTTGAACTACAAAACTCACAACTAGAAAGCTCGCATTGAACTGGCTCAATATAATTAAATAAATGTAATTTACATGAAACCTATATGAAGTGAGCTATCTAGCTTGACCCTATTATATACTTATTTATATGTATGTGGGAGTCCAGTGTAGACAATATAAAAAACTTTTTCAAAATGTGCCACTGTCTCCTTTGTACAACAAACATACTGAATGTGTGCATGGAAACCTATGCTGTAATATTTACTCATTTAGGTAAAACTATATGTGAGTATGGAGTATTACACATCAAATCATGTTATATATTATAGTTTATGTAACTTACATATATAAACTATATAGGTATATAATATATATAATTAGATATTTCAATTAGATATTTCAATTCAAAAATATCTACATTTTTTAGAATTTTAAACTACTGATGTAAAGGAAGACAATAAACATTGATAATATTACAAGTATGATGCAAAATCAAACATTATATATTAAAATTTTTGTTAATTATGAATGACAAAGTAACGGTAAGCCCACACCAACAGAGTGCACTCACTCAGCTGGTGTGAGCTGATCAAATGCATACCTACCTTCCGGACAGTTCAGCCCTAAACAAAAATTCCATACTTAAATATTATCTATCCACAATATTTTAAAAGAGATTTTGACTAATATGATACCTATATATTGATAGATATTATCTATCTTCATTTATAATAATTAATTTGGCATATTATAAGGTAAGTCAATAATAATACTCATAATAATGAAACCTTACTGAGTACACCAATCATACTTATGTAGTGATAAGTTTATTAACATTTTGAAATAAAAATTACCATTGAATGTTACAGAAATGATAGATTTATTCAATTTAACAATTATGACAATTTAAATAGAATTATTATCCTTTGACATAGTTATATAAGCATTAATAACTTAAGAAATAGATACTAATGTACTATTTGATTCTCTCTAAATAAGCTTCAACTATGGAAAGTATTATAAAAAATAATTTTCGTAAGGTATAAAAAACTAAGAAAAATCTTAAATTTATTCCCCTCATCATGTTATAAACATACTTTGTGTAGTTCTTTTAACCTTATAGTCTGCCATTTTATAGAAGAAGAGACCTTGTAGGGCGCGACAATTTATTGCAAAAACGGAATTTACGACATATTTCACTCTAACGGTGATTTCTTAGCTGTCTCCATACCTTCATAACAAACGCATAGTCATCATTTATTTTCGCTTGTTGTTACAAAATATACGATCAGCTGATTTCTTTGTTTGATAGTTTCGTATCTCCATAAAACGACGAACGATTATGGCACGTCAAATTAATTTATGTATAATTGAATTATATATTATACCTCCTCCTTATTCATAAATTATTTTATAGCAAATTGAAATATAGTTTCGAGAGTTACTTATCCATAAACAAACCTTGAAAGTTCTTACCTTTATAATGGACTCGGAGATTATTTTGCGATAAACCGATGTAGCTGAATTTGTCTTTAGTACTCCATGCTCTAGGTAAAGGTGTTTCATCTTCATTTACATTTGGATATAACAATTTTAAACGATCTACAGTATCACTTTGCACTTGATTTTGGGAATTCATCGTTCCCCGTCCACTACCCATCGCAGCCATTTGTAATTTCCGTATTTCAAGACTGTCAGTCTGTGACGTCATATCCACTGGTTTAGAATCAAAATCTTTCACAGATGGCAGCACTACGAGCTTTGCGTGATGCGACCATTGCATCATGTAAATGCGACAAAGCAAAATATATGGACCTAGTGCAGCACTGTTGAAACTTAGGTTCCGAGCTTTTCCATTTAATTTTTATCTAACTATAAATTTAAACATTTTAATAGTGCGGAAATAGTTGACTATAATGATAGTTACATAAGTGGGTATTTTATATTGATTAGCTTGTGAATCATATTAGTTATCTAACTCTTTTAATCTTATGATAATCACTACGGTAACAACAAAATTTAATCATAGGATTTTTCTCACTGATATTAATAGACATTCAACAAATATGTCGTGTTCTAGCTCTCCAAAATGGTTAAGGGAAATAGTGACAAACGTAACTGTTAAGCTAAAGTTCACAAAAAAACCTGAAAATAGTTTACTGGAATCAAACCAATTGTATTATGACGAGGTTCTAAAAGTGAGTTTATTTTGTAATCTACTTGTAAATCTGTTAACAATGAATTATTTTAAAACCCTTTTTGGTATAATGTTAAATGTTGATATGTGAACTTCAAAACGAATATATCGATATTAAATTAATATTATATCGATTCATATTTTATATTAATCATATTTCGATATATTCGAGCTTAGGTTCTGTTGTACACACGCTTTCAAAGAGTATATAGGTAATCACTTCCGTCTAAGGACAAACGCATTTCTAATAATAATTTTAGAATCTTTGTATAAAAATATATGCGCATAAAGTACGCGTCAAATCTAAAGCATTTCGTTTTTTTCTATTGCGATGCTTCATCACTTGATAAATGAAATCTATATTGTTTATTAAATGATACACACTCAGATTAAATGGATAACCACACAGTTGCCGATAATCGTTTTGAATAAGGCGACCTTCATGTTTGTTTTTAGTATTACAAGATACAAATATATACGTATTTATTTTTACATATTTTTTAGATCTACCGTGAAGCATTTGAAAAATTAATTGAATGCTCAATTACTTTTTCTGATATTCTTATGGGAATCAAAGATGCCTATGAAGATGCTCTTCGCATAAGAGATCATCGTATTTCTCATTTCAAAACACAAGATGTAAGCATTATTTTGTTTTATTGGTTTTTGTCATTAAAATCAATAATTATTTCAGCATTTAAAATAGTTATTATTTTGTATATTTAACAGTTAAGGTTAGATGTAGTATGGACAAGAGTTTTCTAACGATTTTTAATCGTCTGGGGATTTGGTCGTTATCATTTTAAAACATTTGATTGGCTGATTTTTTATGACCAAATACGTGCACATTATATAATTAAGAGTAGCTCGGTGGCGCAGTGGATAAGCGCCACGGCCCGCGATCGTATTCATTAAGCAACTTTCGTGAGGGTCGGTCACGGGATGGGTGACCAAAATATTATTATCTCGAACTACTCCGTACTTCGGAAGGCTTAATGCCGTTGCTCCCGGCTGCATTTGCAGTCATTAATACTCTCCAATCCGCATTGGGCCAGCGTGAAGGGTCATGGCTCATCCTCCTTAACCATCTATAAGGAAGGTCTGAGCCCCTGCAGTGGGGACGTAAAAGGGCTGGTGATGAATATAATTCCGCCAATAATTAATAAATAATTCCGCCAATAATAAATAATTCCGGCTGGTGATGAATATGATTTACCAGGGCGATCAAATTATCAGCCGATTAAAAATAACTGTGCATTTCTAGTCTTCTGCACTTTTTGATGTAGTGACTCATTGCTAAGCTCCAAGACATTTAGGTACTTATTTTTCTAAAAACGAAAGAAAAATTAATTAGAAAAAAAACGATTATTTGCGCTACAATCTACTTTTGTTCTTCGATCTCTGGCGGTTCATTGAAATCCGAATTACCCCATTCTTTACTCATCAACGCAACTTTCTTCCGACTTTGCGTTGCAATCCCCATCATAACCTAATGCAGGTGTTAAAGCTATGTGTAGCTTTTGTGATCTCCTCATATATAGCCTCCACTTCGTGATGTGATTACACCGAGGTCGGAGCGTAAACTATATGAAAGTTAACTAATATTAACACTTAATTAAAAGATAGCTGAATCTTCGCACCACTTGCCGAAGAAGTAAGCCTTGCTTTAAGTAGTATTGTTATGTACGTAAATATTTGACTTGATGCCTGCAGTTAAGGCCCTTACAATATACGGTATAAATTGTTGAGGGAGACTACTTTGCTCCCGACCTTCTTGGTTTAAGGTCTTCTTAATTCATTTAAATTTAAATATTGACATTTGGCAATCTTTTCTGCACATACGCGTCTATATTTTTATTATACAGAAAAGTCACTCTTCATAAAGCTATTGCCGGTGCTGTTTGTATTTTATAAAGTATATATTTTTGGTGGTAAATAAACTCATGTGATCTAAAAGCTTCCTGGTGTTTCTCTATACCGCTCTTACCATCGGATATCATATGTGACAGATAGCGCTGAATAAATAAATCAATGAGTATTTTAAGAAAAAAAAGAAAGTACAAAAAAAGCGCCTCCCTTGATGGTGACTCTACTAAAAGTTGATTTTTGCAGGAAACGAATCGATCAAAGTAGTCATTTTCATTCCTTTTAACCAACATATTAAAAAATTTAAATAAGCGAAGTTCAAATACGAAAACGTACAAATAGAATATGAGTTGTTTATTGAGTTTTGAAAATTAATTTCCTTTTATACACGAAAGAAAATCGACAGGGTTGTCATGTAGAAATCAAGAAACTACCGTAGCGATATCTAGTTTGATTTCGGGAACTGATTTTTTTTTAATACTTCCTCTTTGTTTGTATTGGGCAATAGGGTATTTAACACTACCGAAAATAAGTTGCATTTTGTGGTCATCCTGATAGATAATAATCTAATAAAGCTTATTTCTTAACATCTGCAGAAAAAACATGTTTGGATTTTGTAAAATAACGTAAAGAAAATGCAATATTTTTAGGAATTTATTCAACGACGAAAATGTCCTATAATTGATCGTCGTCACAACCAATCACGATTCTGTTTATTGGCCAGTGACGTCATCAGCTGTCATGCTGTCATGTCAAAGTAGTGTTAGAAAGATACATAAAATATCGATGCCTGTAGGTATCGAGTACTTTATAGTAATTTACTGATAACAGAATACTTTGTCCCTTCTGCTGATAAGAACTGCCAAAAAGAAATATAGTAAGTAAGAATCATTTACTAAGCTTTTTAAAAAATCCAAGAATTAAGGAAAATACCCGAAATTAAAAAAAAGAACAACTTACATGTTTTTATCATTTCTTGAACTTTAATAAAAATAATTCAAAATTACAAAGTCGATTTTGATGATATATACTGTTCTCCCAAGTTAAAAATAATAAAAGAAAAACATCGGGATCTGATCTCTAATTATCAAGTGCCATACATTTAGTGGACAGACATACTACATGCATCTTTAAAAAAAAATAGTACATTCTTTTTCGTACTAATGTCTCATCCATCTGTAGGTCGACAGGCTATAAAGTGTGAGCCCTGTCAACAAATAGAAATACAACATATATATAGAAAAATATAGAAAAACAACCAAAAAGAAAACCTTCAAACGTATCGATATGAAATAAAAAAAATTCAATACTTTTAACGAATCCTTACCTAATTTCATCACCCATCTCTACTCTATATAGCTACTAATCTATTGTGATCGTGAATCTATTTTCTTCTAGACTAGAAGTTTGTTTGTTATTTATAGGAGTATTAGTACATTGTGGCACTACGCACCACTTGTAGCTCATTTTATAAAGAAAAATAGAGGAAAATAAAAAACGTAAAAAATACGCACTACGACTTCAATTTCTCTTCTAAATTAATATTTCAATGTACTATAAAGACTCTCTTCTTCTTCTTCTTCTTTTTTAATTAATGGCTTATCTGCGCATTTCGCACAATTCTGCCAATGTCAAGTAAATAAATTAATTTTTACATGTAAAATGAAATGAATGAAAGATGGCGATACTATAAAGACAGTTGTCACTTATCGATTTGACATATTTACTGGCCTGTGACATCACGATCAGCGCCATTACATAGAGCAGCGTTTATCGCGCGATTTTAACTATTTAAATTTTAACAATTATTTTCACCGAAAATAGAAAATATTCCAATGAGATATAATTACAGTGTGTTAATAATGTAGCAAGCAACGATTTAAAATAGATTTCAGAAAAGTGTCAAATGTAAATTGTTCAATTTTTAAAATGATTGAATAATAAAGATGCATATCGATATTAAAGCGATTTTAAAAAAAGCAATTTCTTACTTTTTCACATCCTTGCTTTGTTTATTTCCATTTCCACAGCAGTTTATTTCCGTTTTATTTTACTTTTTAGTTTAGATAATTTAATCAGTGTGGAGCATAGAGTGCTCGCTATTTTCTTTGGCGTGAAGTAGGTATCTTGTTTATTAATATTTCTTTTATTATGTACTAGCATTCGCAATCAAACATAATAAAATTTTTCAGAACACATCAATTAATTTAATATGGTAGACACTGCTAACGACGATATTCCTAATATTGTGGTTCTTGACGGCGGCTTTTCTACACAACTCGCCTGCCACATAGGATCAACTGGGGATGGTGATCCATTATGGAGTGCAAGATTTCTGCAAACACATCCTCAAGAAATAGTTAACACACACTTGGATTTTCTACGAGCCGGTGCCGATGCAATTATGACTAATACTTACCAGGCTTCCGTAGGGGGCTTCGTGAAACATCTCGATGTTACTCCGCAAGAGGGGTTGGCTCTAATCCGCCGTGCTGTCGGTTTGGCAAAGCGTGCTCGTGATACATACTTAGAAGAATGTCTCAACAATGGTGTTTCAACTCAAACACCTTTAATAGTAGGCTCTGTCGGGCCATATGGTGCACATCTGCATGATGGATCAGAGTATGATGGCAGTTATGCTGATAAAACTTCACCTGAAACATTGCGTGATTGGCATGCTCCTCGTATGCAAGCTTTAATAGAGGCTGGAATAGATCTTCTTGCATTTGAAACTATTCCCTGCCAAAAAGAAGCAGAAGTTCTTGTTCAGATGCTTACTGAATATCCAATGTCAAAAGCTTGGCTTTCTTTTAGTTGCCAAGATGCTGTTTCCCTAGCTCATGGTGAAAATTTCCAGGAGGTTGCCAAAAGGTGTTGGGAAATGAGTTCTGGCCAACTTGTAGCCATTGGTGTTAATTGCTGTTCACCCAATATAGTATCTACATTATTTAAAGGTATCAATGCTGACCGGAAACAAGCTCCTATACCTCTTATAACATACCCTAATTCTGGTGAGAAATACAATCCACAAATAGGTTGGATAGATGGAGATCAATGTGATGCAATTGAGACATTTGTGCATGAATGGTTGGACATTGGAGTGAGATACATTGGAGGTTGCTGTAGGACGTATGGAGCAGACATCTCTCGTATAAGGAGCCAAGTGTACAGCTGGTTAGACAGGAAAAAGTTTGCTGAGAACTGATAGACCAATTAACCTTACTGATTATATTATTCTTGCATTGTCTTAGGTGTTTGTAGATAGGAAATAACTGTTAATGATTTATGTCAAAGGTTCTTGTTTAGGGGCTTAGTCATTTGTGTTGTTTTATTGAATAAAAAATGTTTTATGTTTTAAAAATGTAGCAAAAATTTATATTTTAGCTTGTAATTAGAACTAAAATTGTGATAAAAATATATTTAAAAAGTTGTTTATTCAATAGCAGTAAAGCTTTAATCTTTGAGACTATTATTAATTTCAGAGAGTATTTGGTTTATCTATGGAAAAAGACAAGAAAGATAATAAATTCCAGATGATGCTCAAAGAAAACGAAACTTTGAAAGAGCAAAATATGAAGCTGAATTTCAATACATCTAACTTGGAAAAATACATTGGGAAGGTATGTTATTTGTGAGTAGTTTAAAACTCGCCATGCACAGTCACAGCCTGGTTTCATGATGTGGTATGCAAATACTTTGTTGTCTAATTTTAAACCATATTTGGACAATGTTACGTGTTCTTTTGAGCTTGAATCCCATGAGCCATCAAATTTAGCTCTTAAAAAAAGAAGAAAATATCATGAATGAATTTTCCTATTTTTGTGTTATATAAATATTGTTACACTCTGTTCTGTAATTACAACCCTTGTTCTATGTTTAAAATATATTCATGTTGCATCATTCATAAATAATATGCTGTGTTTTGTAATTACAACCCTTGTTCTATATTTAAAACTAGCTTTCCGCCAGCGGCTTGCCCGCATGATACCTAGGGAACTGTTTATTTGGGTATCAATTGCTGTTGTCATAGCATAGTTTTATATACATATATATATTATTGGTATCTTGAACCGCTTTTGCAGCGCACGCAACGGAAGCCCTCAAGGATGAATAATTTTCCCCATTTTTTCCACATTTTCCATTATTTCTTCTATGTTATGATGTTATATAGCCTAAAGCCTTCCTCGATAAATGGTCTAATATTAGTAAAGATATATTTATGTTGCATCATTCATAACAAATATTCTGATAAAACTATAGGTCTTATCTAATTTGCCTCATAGAGTGATAAATATGTATGGATATAGATAGTTACAATAATTTATCCTGAATCAGTTTTGTGAAGCTGGTTTTATTTGTATCTGAAAAAATTAAAAGGTGCATAATCAAAAAAGAAAACAAACAAATATTTTATTTTATTCATGAAATTGGTTTGAGTAACACTTTTATTTTAATTATAGAAATATATTGAGTAGACTGGTGGCATAGTGGATACGTGGCCGTGGCCTATTGTTGTTATGCAACTTTAAGCAAGGGTCTGTCATGGGATGGGAAACCAAAAAAATATGATCTCGAGCTACTTCGCACTTCGGAAGGCACGTAAAGCCGTTAGTCCCAGCTGCATTTGCAGTCATTAATATCAGAGTCATGGCACATCCTCCGTAAACGAGGGCTGAGCCCCTGCAGTAGGGACGTAAAGGGCTGATGATGATAGAAATATCAGACAGTCGACAAATTTGATCTACAATGTCACAACCACGAACAGAAAGTCGCGACGAGACGGTTCTAGAAAGGTACCGCTTTAGGCTGACCCTTTATTTGACTGCAGTATAGGCTTGGACAATTAAGGCAATAGGTATCTTTTTACATCTTTTGATAAGACCGTCTGATGTTAAATAATTGTTAAGACTACGCGCTCTGAAATAAACAGTCTTCTTATATCATCATCTATTAAAAAGCGGTACCACCGCGCGACTTTTACATTTTTACATTAAAATACTAGTGTAACTCGATTTCAATTTTAGTTATTTTTGACTTTATAAATGTTTGCTAGCTTAACTTTTTGACGTCGGTTAATTAGGAAGTAAGTATTTTTATATATACCCTACCCTTTGAAAATATTAGAATATATAAAAGTGAACTGAACCGATTTTGATACGTATTCTTTAATCAATCGCCGGAAAACTCGTTTAAGAGCGATAGGTACGGTGCCACAAACAGATGCACATCACATATCATTTTGATTTATAACATCCTTCTTTTTGCGTCGGCGAATTATTACATTATTTTAATCAACAAATCAATTATTTTATTTTAAATATTAAATATCGTACCAGTACATTATTCAACACATCAAAAGTGGGTCCAGAGACAGTTTTTTCACTTAATGAAAGTAATTTCTACATTTCATTGTGTAAAAAGAAACTACCCGTATTTATTTATTATATCTAAACACTACAATAAACTGTGAAGAATTTCGTATGCGTCAACTCAACGATACGGGCATAAAGTAACTTATATAGTAGGGTAGACACGGGTATAGGTAGACAGTGAACGAAATTAATACATTTTTTTTTCTTGTATTGTTTAATATACTATTACCGATAATCACAATTTTTTTTAATTATTTTTTTTTAACTTATCCCGGTTCAAATATGAAAATCCCTTATTTAAAAATTTGGCAACCTTAGCTACGACGCTCAATGATCGAAATCGCTCATTGAGAAAAAAGATTTCACAACGCGTTGTGGTCACAGTAAAATATCCACCATAGCAAAAGTACAAATAGTATATGAGTTGTTTATTGAGTTTTAGAATGCTATTGATTCAATAAATAGATAATAGATCATATGCAGCAAATCGATGAAATATAATATAGAATGAGTGCCGAATTTCATAGGAAATACATACTCGGTGGAACAGAACGACCGACACTTTCGGAGATATTAAAACAAAGTTTTTTGAAAAAAAATGAGTGTTTTCAACCCTGAGTCAGCTGTTTTTGGGACGTACTAAGGAACAAGTTTTTAATCGGTCATTGACTTCTTCATTTCTAAAAATGAAATAAACTAGTTTATGATTTATAAGGCCGTTTTCATGCAAATTCTACCATACAATCACTAAACAAGGCAGTCAAAATGCTTAAATCGATTAACAGATTAACAGCCGGTTTCTGATTTGAAAAAAGTAGAAAATCTCTACTGCTTATTCTCAATAGCCTAAGTTTTTTTTAATTTCACAGGTCTAATAGTTTTAGTTTTATCAAACTACTATCAACTGATCATCAAAAAACTAAAATCACAAACGAAAACTAAGTAATGTTAGTTAACTGTTTTTTAACAATTTTAAACTGACTATTACTAAATGAATCAGTCAAAATGCTGAAATTAATTAATAGACTAACATTTAATAAATCATTGTAAAAAGATTATTCTAATGTTAACTAATTTACATTACGTTACTACATTATTTCAATAGTCAAGAGCTTCCAAAGCTGACTCCAAAACTCTCTAACTCTCTAAAAAATTATTACAAATGTACTTTAAGTTAAAACACTAAGGGCCAGTTTTTTGATCCGTGGTTAACTCAACCATTTGTTAAAATCTTTGACAAATGGTTAAATATCAGAAAAATATGTTTTTTGATTAATAGTTAACCTAACCAATTGTCAGAATTACAACCATTTGTCAAAAAATTTAACCATCACTGGAAGCTAGGTTAAGAAAATGACCAATTGTTAAAAGAACAGATGTACAACTGCGTTGTATTTACTTGGTCCCTTGTTATTGTTTTTACGTTATTTTTATAACCTACATGATTTCATAGTGAATTTGGACATTAGATATTTTTGGGATTTCGTTTTATGATGCAATTTCATAGGAAAATATTCATTGTCATTTTTTGGTTATAGGGTTATTGAAAATAAGTTATATTTTTATCTTGATCATCCTTAGTATATTTGTACTACATAGAAATATTTTTTCTTGTTTCCACGGGCAGATGCCAAATTATTCAATTATTAAAAATTCCACGAATAGACAATACAAAAGGTAAATATGCCTACAGTACATAAAATACTAGATACTATATTCTTTTCACGTATTTTTCTATAAGAAAAATAAAAAACAAATATATGCTTTTTATAAAAAAGTAAAAATATCTTTGTTGCTTTCTAACATTATAAAGCAGTTCCCTTATATTTCCTGAAAAATAACACATAGTGCACACAACAGAACAATCATAAACATCCACACTATTTGATAATCTATAGATATCTTTCGTCTATTTGATATTTGGAACAAAATCCTAATGTCAAAAAAGGGTATATACACTACCCACAGAAAGTTTGGAAGCACCCGCAAATTTTGCTAAATAAAATAACAACTTTAGTATAACCGATTTTATCTATGGTGTACTTAAATCTATCTATATCTATATATATATATAAAAATGAATCGCAAAATGTGTTGGTAAGCGCATAACTCAACAACGCCTCGACCAATTTGGCCAAATCTTTTTTTAAAATGTTCGTTGAAGTTCAAGGATGGTTTTTACGGCGAGAAAAATTAGAATTATTGCTGGAAAAACCCTAAAAATAGCCCTTTTCTTTTTCCCATACAAATGATTTGTAACTAAAACGTAGTCAATTTGAGCTTTATTGCTATGGTATAAAGTTCATATTAAATTACAAGCACTCACTGTTGTCTAAGCAATGTAGGTGTGTTCCTAACGTCAAAGATCATATCTATCAAAACAATGTGCGTGTGTGCGTTGGAGCACAGAATACATAGTTGGAGGAGTTTAATGTCGCGTTCCGAAACTCGCGTTTCTTTTGTATTAGTTTCGGCACGCGAGATAAAATGCATCAGTTTCCACGTCATTACATGTATTGCCAGAACATTGATGAAAATACGCTCTGTAGTAGCAAAGCTGTTGGGTCCTAGATAGCTCATTGGTTAGAGCAGTCCCTGGATCGCGAATGGGTTCGAGTCCCATTCCGGGGTACAGGTAGATGGATTCTTCCAGCATTTTTCCTTGAGAATGTTTATATATTTTTTTAGTTCGAATAGTTTACTTTTATAATGCTGTTGTGTGTAATGTGTTTTTATGATCATAAAAATCTCTTTTTTCTATATTTAATACTATTACTATTAATACATTGCAATAATAATTATGATTCACATGATTAACAATAAAGCGATTACTTACTTTTAAATCCTTATATATGTTTTATTTAATTATTTTTTATTCACAACGCCCTATCACCAGGGTGACGGTTCTGTTCAGGAGATTTTTTTTAAATACGTAGGCAAAAAAACTGCCACATTACAAATCTTTTTGACAGGACGAAGTCTGTCGGGTCAGCTAGTATGCCATAAATTAAAATCTTTCTATAGTTTTTTTAATTAAGTTGGTGATCATATCGGGTAAATATTTAAGAAAAATTAAAAAACTAGTATTTAACAGTTATGGTTTATTTTGCTGAGTACCCTGTAATATTTTTATTTTCGCTTCGTATTAGTTTTACTTAGTCAGTATTCATTGCGAGCGCTGTTCCGATTGTGATAATAGTTTATTGATTGGCGTTTATATTTAGTTTTTGCTGCTTTTACGACCGTATTCTTTCGATACTCATATTTTTAATTATTTTCCGTTCAAAATGGGAAAAGGAAAACAGTTACCTATTGAAACTCGTTCAGCTATTATTGTGTTGAGAAATGAAGGCATTTCTGAGAGAAATTTCCAAAAAACTTGGTATTTCGCCTAAGGGGGTACATTATACCCTTGTAATACATCGTGAGACGGGCAGTTAATCGGACAGAAAACGGAGCGGCAGGCCAAAAATCACTTCTGTAGCAGAAGACCGGTTTATTATAACAACCTCGAAGCGAGATCGTCGACTTAC